TCGCTTTTTAAATTGGATGCAGCCGACTGGATGCTGTAGATGGCACGGTCCACTTCACCCTGTCTGCGTTTTGGGACTGATGGGTAAGTTCCAGCTCCACATTGGAACATAGGGCGTTCTTTTTTTGAGAAAAGGAATGTCCGGGCTTTGCTTGGAGTATCCGCCCATTGAAATTACCGCCCTAAGAAAGGTGGCTGGAGAACGCATCCAACCCGTATCAGAAGATTATTCGAAGGTCTTTGGGGTTCAGACATCGGATTTCGGATCCGTCCCCGAAAAGGAGGCGGAGAGCCCCCTGAAGCGCATGCAGCGGCGGCAGACCACAATGATCCTCTGCAGCGAGATCCTGCGCCTTGGAAAGTGGCCGGATCTGATGGTTTGGTCCTGGAACGCGGGTTCCGTTTTTTTCTTTTTCTTTTTCCCGTATCGTTGGCATCTTGGCACCTTTAAAGGGCAACACAACAAAAACCAGCCATTCAGGAGCAACAGCTTGATGACTAGCCGGTTGTTCATAAGTGGTAGGGGGACCCTCCTCGCTGTGGCTTGAAATCAACCTTGACCATGTGGGACAGATGCAGTGCCTTTCCTTCCTTCCTTGTTGGCAGCAACTCAGCAATGAAGGGCATCAGCCGTTGGGAGCGAGTCTCACATGGCACGACAATTTGCTTGCTGGTGCGATAGGGGAACGAGGGAATGAACCTGGGGATGCCCTTAAAGGAACCCAGAAAAAGGGGTGGTTTATAGGGGTCATTCCTTCATTCCCCTCATCCCCTGAGCACCAGCAAGTTTCCAGCGCGTTTGCAAGGAGTGCAAAGGCCCAGAAGCTGCTGGCCACCCAGCATGAGGTGCGGGCCGAACCGGCCGGCCGAAGAATCTGAGCTATGGCTGTGGCTGTGGCTGTGGCTGTCCCACAGGCTGACATTTGTGTTGGCTTTCCAAGGCCTCTTCAGAGGTACATCAGTTTGCCTGGGCAGCTTTCATGCGCATATGGCTGTTTCTACCACACGTGTTCTGTGGATGGTGCGTGAATTTAGGCCAGTGGATCCTGGTATGCGGTCTCCGGCCTCTGCGCCGATGTCCAGTATGTACTGTGGGCTTGGATCTCCTCCTCCAGCCTTGTAGATGTGGTTCCTCCGATGGAATGGGCCCATGGGCCACCGTTGCGAACCCGCGATCCAGACGCCTTTTTGCGGCCCCATGGACTGAAAGGGGGACCGAATCAGATTTGGATGTTTCGCCCCGGTTATCCATAGCTTTCTGAGATGATGGGGGCACCTCCAATTCTTGAACCGGCCAAGGCTGAGGCAGCAAGCTGTCGCTTTGCACGTGCCAGGCAGGGCTTCGCTTCAACCAGCTGGTGCCAGAGTTCCCAATGGACAAGCGGCTCACAGGCCGGGAAAGCTTTGCTACAAGCGAAGGCTCGTCTTGTTGACCCGTGGACTTGGACGGCAGACAGTCTGAATTGTCTTGGTGAGGTCATTGCAGATGTTGGGAAGCCATTCTTTGCTTGATTTTCGATGCATGGATTCTCACTTGTCATTTGTAACGGTTCCAAATTGCAGCTTGGATGCTGGACATTTCTTTGCCTACTGCTTTGACCCATCCGATGCTCAACCCACAGCTCAAGTGGGGTCATGGGTAGAGTTTATGAATATAGCTCATGCGTGCAGCCTGTTGTTGTCAGTGATTTCTCCCATCAATACCTTTGGTTGCTGAATTGTGGGTGTGGTGCGTTGCCCATCAAGTGAGTGAAATGTGATGCTTGCCTGCTTGCGGTGCCTTTGAGTTTTGGGCACATCCCGACATGTTTTCATTTAGGTAAGACTTGGGCTAGGCAGATCTATATAACCAGCCTGGAAGTTGAGTCATATGGTGAGTCATATGGGTGTTTGCCACTGGGGCTGGCGTTGCTGAACGCAAAGGGGAGACTTTGATTTCTTTGGGGGTGGTCCCCGGGAGGAAATAAAAGCACATCAATCATGAGCCCATCGTGGGGCCCGGAAGATGCCCGATGTGCAAAGGGAAGACATCCGTCGAGGAGATCTCAAAGACGGTTTGTGGTTCATACGCTCGGCTGGAGGCGAAAGCCTGGGCGACCTCGCGAACTTTGCGCGGGCCGAGGCTTTGGAAGTCTGAGCGAAAGGTGTCGGAAGCTGGGCTGCGCAAGGCCGCAAGACGGCACATAAAACCATCTGAAAACCTGCCCTCTTTGCCCTGGACATTCTTTGGGTCTTTCTTGGATTGGCAAGTTGTTGAAGGTCGGGTCACTTGCATTTTGAGGTTGCTGTGCCCAGTTCTTGCTTGCTGGTATTTTTAGTTCAGGGAGTCTCGATGGACTATTGGGTATTTGCCCATACACACACGCACATTGTGAGTTTGACGCAATGGTATTGCAGGCTGCGCATGAGAATGTTCTCAGAAGTCTTCAGAACGTTCCTGACAGACCTTAGTGTTACTGGCACAACTGTAAAAAAGAGGGAGGGGTATTGGTGGCAGACACTTTGAACCCAGTGCAACCGGAGGACAGAGCAGCGCATCTACGTCCCCCAGTAGTGCCCTTTTACTCTTTTTTGGGGAGGGTTCCCCTGCTAAAATCGACTACAGAAAAAAGGGTACCCTTCTTCTAACCTCTCTACTGGACCTAGGCATGAGCCTCAGCCCTTGAACCCTCCAGCTTCCGCGAAGTGGGCAGCCCAATGATGGCTTGCGGCTGAACGGCCATCCGGCGGTTCCCTCCAGCGGATCGGGCAGACTGCGGACGCTTCTCGCGCAGTGAGAAGGCAGAATAGGATCAAATGTGGGCTGAGGCCACGGAAACTGCTGGGAAACTAGCAACTGTCCCAGGCTGGACAAGATGTAGATTTTCATGCTTTGAGTTTTGTTCCACAGATCAGATTCTACTGGAAGTATCCAGGTGTAAGAGAGTCACGCTGGCCACAGAGGCCAAGGTCCAATCCGAACAAGTCCCTACCTCGGAGGGAACAAACAAAACGCTCTTTACCCATGACGGGTCCCTTTCTTCAAATAGGGGACCCCTTCTTGGATGGTGTGTTACAGGGAAACCAAAAGGAAACCACCTGGAGAGTTCCCAATTTTGAGAACCCATATGTTCATCTCGCAAAGTCCAGCCCAAGGGGTGCCGCAGCTGGCCAGAACCCCCCAAATAGAAAATACATTCTGCCGCAGGTGATGTCTGTGTGGCAAACAAGTGCACGTCGGCCTGGATCACTTTTTGCACACCTGGAGCGTAGAATGGCTCAGCGGTGGTCGTCCTTTTCCTTTTCCCGTTGTCAGGTTTAAGCTTCAGGGAGTCGAGCTTGCTCGAGCAACCGTCCGCTCCGCTCTTGGCGTCAAGCAGCGAATTCGCCGCAGGAGGGACACGCTCCACAATTTTTATCGCGACGGGCCGAAGCAAAGATGGTGCAGCCAACAGTTATGGCCAGTTCACGCACACAAGATAGTGGCAGTTTGGAGTGTGACGGTTTTTGGTATGTCGCTCACACGCACCGAGAGCCGCTGAAAAGGACTTTCCCCTGGAAAGCCGTGGAACCTGGGCAAGCCGGACACCAGAGGACAGCTGGTGCCAGTCGCCTGTAAATTGGCTTCAGATATTTGCAGGATGCCTGACCAGGTACCAGTAGTTTTTCCATTTGAGCCTCACTACTCTGCATCCTGGGCACCTTGGGCACCCTGGCTTTGGCCCAACGTGCCTTCTGTGGCCTCCAGAGTGAGAAGGCTGGCTGACACTCCTGGCTTCTGTTCCCGGCCTGCTCTTATTTGGGGGGGGGGGGGGGGCATGGTAATGCTGTGCTGCAGCTAAAGCCTTTTGCAAGGGTTCAGAGATCCTTAGCGCCTACGTCAAGGAGTCGGCCACTTGCTGGCTTTCCTCCCCAAAACTCAAATGACCACTCCCACAAGATCTTGGAGGGATGACTCTCCGGAAAGAGATCGTGGTTCCATGTTGGAATACGGGCGAGCAAGTTCCGAGTATAGTGCATGTCGTTATATATTTTCAATGCAAGCTAAGATTTGACTTGCTTGCATTGGAAGGAACCAGCGTGGGAAGCGGGTCGGCTTTGCAGGCGTGGGCAGGTCCCAAACTTAGTCTGGGGCCCTCTTTTGTTAGTTTGCAACACTGACAGCCCAAGGGACCGACCATTCAGAATTTTGGAGAGCCCCTATGCTGAGACGCACCCAAATCGTGGAAATTTATCTATAACCCGAGAATCAGGGGAAGCGGAAGCCGGGCAGAGACGCCAAGCGGGCATTACGAAGCAGGCTTTGATAGAGGTGCCACAAGAGCCACCAACGTCAATGTGTAGCACAAGAGGCGTGTTCACTCAAAGGAGTGACCAAGGGCGGGAGCGATCCTGTCTTTGTCGTGCGTCCAAAAGAAACTTTTGTGTTGATGCCTTCCGTTTTGTGACCGAACCAACGAATGGTGCTCTGGCCCCCGGTTGTGAGCAGTTTGTGAACCGCGTGATTTGTTGAAACCAACTCACATGACTCGTATGGCATGAGTTGTTGGAAACTGGCCGGCTCACAAGGCCGAGACAGTCAGCATCGAAGCAGTCGGATTCCCATTCAGAGCTGCGCACGACCCTTTCTGGACGCCATGATCTACGAAGCAGCTTCTGCAATGTGCCCAACAGGGTGGTAGATGTTCCGAAGGGCCAATTCGGTACCAAATCTGGAAGGCATGTCCTCATTCATTGAAGTCCCGCTGTTGCGCAGTGGCTTTTCCTTGTACGCCTGAACAGCGAAGTCAGCCGTTGATTCTCATTTTGACTGAAGACGGCAGACAGCAAACAGCAAGACACGCGAGCTTTCCTCACTGTTCATGCTGACCAGGTCTGACCTCCTGACAGAATCCGGCTGCGCTTGTTTCTGCCGCTCAAGCGCATCCCATGTTGCCATGCGCGCATCTTGTTCATCTTGTTCCACGCGCCCGCGCAGCGCCCGCGCGACTGCTCGGCCGTTTCGGTCTCAAGAGCGGCCAGGCCAAGATCCTGGTGATGCAGCCGCGCCGCATTGCGGCCACCACCCTGGCGGTGCGGAGACCTAACAAAAACGCCACAGGGCCATTTGCGGGCCAGGCATGGCAAAGGAGCAAGTTAGTTGACAGGGCCAAATCAAAATCCAGTTGGCTGTGGGTCGAAACCAATGGTACCATTTTGGGGTAGGTGCACCACCCATTTTAGCACCCATTTTAGTGGGGATTGGGATGTTCACTGGGGGTACGGGAAATTGACCCATGGCCATTTGAGTTATGGTAGTACCACAACATTTGTCCACATCCAAACCTGACATGACTTGCTTGCGAATCCCTCAGGTTTGAGTCTCATGAGAAGTTGCTATGCCTGTGGTCGGGAATCTTCCGGAGAGAGCGGACTCCCTAAATCATGCAACATGGGATCACAACCATCATTTGCAGAGTCTTATCCACATCCAGTTACGTTCAACTGAATGGTGCTGAGTTGCGTCCAATCGGTGCCCTAAAAGTGCTTTCCGCTCAGTCTGCCAACATGCTTTGCGTATTCCTGACTGGCAGTGAATGGAACGCGTGTGGGAAACAAGCTAGTTCCCACACTTGACCACGTGGCTGTCACCTGAAATTTGCTGAACGCAAATCTTTCTGTGAGCCCACGACAACCTGGTTACTTCGGAAGTCCGGACGGCCACTTGTGGCAGCATATCTTCGTCAATGGCCAGCCCAGCCCGGTGTTTCTCCATCAGGAGCGGATCGCAAAGGAGCGATGCCAGCCCCTGGGGGTGGACGTGGGCTACCAGGCGGGCCACCGTTTTATCCTTGGAATGGGCCCCCCGCTTTGCCAATCACTTCGAATTGGCCCATGACGCTTTCCACTGCCTAACACATGAGCGTAGGGGGTCCCTTTCCACTGTTAAGACGTTGACATTTTAAGGTGTGAAGAACTCGCTGGACGCAGACAGGACACATGTCGCATCCAGCCGTTTGCTTGGGTCACGTTCGGCTTGTGAGGTCTCTCCGGATGTTTCCAAGGCAACAAGCCGGGACATGGGAACCAATCCGGCGCGAGGTGCCCAACGGTGGCCGGGCGGAGCACGCCCGGCTGGTCTTCTGCACCCTTGGGGCCAGGGAGCCCAGAGCAACGGAAGCGGAACGGCCATTTGGTCAATCCATCTCTCGTTTGAGTTTCGGGACTCAACGCCTGTAGAACTCTTTTGCCAAAGTCAGCACCCATGTTTGGTGGGGCCTCAAGGCTTCCAGGGCTTGTGCCCACAGTAAAGCAACATGGTAGTGTTTGCCTAGCGCGGAATCGGGCCGTCCACTCTCAGTCCAGGTGTTCAAGCCTTGTCGCCACGCTGAAAGGTCCATTTGCTGATTGGATCAACACCTGGTTGCGTTGCCTTCTGCCTCGGTAGCCGAGCCGATAGGTCAGGACACCATTTCGGAGCTCATGGCAGTGATGAGTCGAATAGACCTTGAACTGGCGCAACATCCGGTGGGATTCCGCAACTAACATGTACTGCGCAGTTCGCTTTTCCTCTTGCACGGGGATCAGTGATTTTCAGGTCCGAAGTGGGCAGCGAGACAGGTTCAACATGGCCAATGCTGGAGTTGTCCAATGACGCACCCTGACCAAACATGGTTCACGCGCACTGGTTGGAGGTAAATTGACTGAGTGTTACAAGCAGTATGTCTACTTGTCCTTGGGATTGTTTGGGTACTTTTGTTGGTTCGAATGACCAGTGGCAGAGGTTCCATGAGGTTTTGCTCCACGTTGGTGCCACGTCAGGTCTTCAGAAGGCGCTTACTGAAGGATCCCGACCTGACGGGCATCACTCACGTCATCTTCGATGAGGCGGGCGACGCCATGGAAATGTCCATGGGTTGTGCGCGAAGAAACACGCAACATGGCGAAACTGATTGAGAACCCGTTCCGGCAGAACCATGGCTTGATGGGCTTTGAGTGCAGCCGGCTGCTGGAGGTTCGCACAGTTTGAGGGGAAGGTATCACAAGTACATCGTATAATTAAAAAAAGAGAAACACACACAGTTGGAAGAGCATCCCAGGATAGGCAAGTAGGACGATCAACGAGTCGCACCTGGAAGCTCAGGTTTGCACCAAGACCTGGATCTTCAAAAGCGCACATGTCGTCTCTTTCGACATTCAAAGTAACTTGACTTACTGTTGGACACGTTTTCAGGAGGTTTGTCGCAGTCCTTGGGCTTTGCTGAGTGGCGAAAAGTGTGCTTCTCTGACAGAAGCCTGAAAAGTGCCACGGTACTGTTTCTCGCAGGGGAACAAGAGCACTCTATAGTTTGCGCCGTGGGCATTGCAATACTCTGCCGACCTCCGCTCGATAGACTCGCCATGGTTTTGGGGGTCTCAGTTGGTCTCGGGCCAGGTCCACGAGCGAGACAAGCTGGCGGACTTCAATATGCCTGGTGCCCCGGGCCACCGGAACGACGCACATCTCTGCGGGGTCTTCGATGTGTGCCGGAAGCTGAAGTTTGTTCGCGGGCTCGGTCTCTTGCGATATGCCATGGGGTGTTTTTTCTGCTCAATGCGCCAAATAGGAGGCATTCCTAGATCGCATCGCCCTTGAGGTTGTAACAAAGTTTCCCAAGACTACCTCTTGTTCACTGGATATTTTTTTCTTCTCGCCTATGGAGGTTGCGCATCTCGGATGGGGGAAGCTCAACAGGTGAAGCATTCGGTCTGGCTTGCTCTACCTCAACCGCATGTATAAAACAATCATCTAAAGAGCACAGTCAACGAGCCATGGGGGACCCTGGCTGAGACACGGCTTGCCTTCATAACTTTGCACAGAGTGCCCAAGTTTGGAACAATCAACCACCCATGTGCAAATGCCCAAAGTTTCAAAAGAACGATTCCTTACCTTCCTGCTGTACATGGCTAGTGCCCAGGACAGACCACCCTCACAAGCCCTGTCAAATGTGAAGCCAAGCCGAGCCCAATCCTAAAACGGATCGCTTTCGCAAGCTTTCGGAGGGAGTCTTCTTCAGGTACTTTCGCAACGATCGCTTTCGCGGGCTTTCCTGCCTGCATGTTATGCTTCACACATTCTCGTTTGCGCGATGCTCGCTTGAGAATGGTTGGCTCTGCGCAGATGATGCAAGATCAAGGGAGTCCGCCTTCAACCATCCTGAACTGATCTGACGGAAGAACCACACCTATTAGCTGGCCAAGTTCATGCCTTAGTCGACAGGGTCATTTCCGGTGCCCGTCTGGAGGATGGATTTTTGTTTTTTGCGACAAGAGACTGCCCTCTTTTTTGGTCAAAGCAGTTTGTGTCCCGCTGTGCCTCGACGATGAGCTTTCTCGCTTATACACGAGGAACTGTCAAGACCGCAGAGGCAGTAGCTGCGCCGATGACTTGAGATAGTTGGCCACGTTTCTGCTCCACTGAAAACTTAGGTTATCAGCCGTACGAGCTGTTCGTGGCTGGCTACTTACTCCACTACACCCTCATTTTCCACATTGAACGTCAACGTCCACAAGGCTTTTGTCTACCCGGAGGTGGTGGATGGAGAGTGACTGCTCTGCCAGGCCAGAATGGCCTCGGTTGAGCTCTGCACTCAGGCACGCCGTGCCCCGGTCCTATGGGCCCACGCAGCGGAATGCCGCCCCTGCATCCGCTGATGCCGTAGTGCGCCGGGGAGCGTCCTCTCAGGTAGCCCTCAGGTTGCGCACGTAGACGTCCTGGAGAATGATCACTTCTACTGGATCTCCCAGTTCGCATGGACATGCCTGAGTCGGCCTCTGTCCGTGGCTCAGGACCACCACTTCTCACCCTGGCGCCGGTCTCCGCCCGCTCGCCGATGTCCGGAAGGTCCCGATGTCCGGAAGGTCCTCTGCGGGCCAATTCTCGCCCCTTGATGTCAGCCCGGCATCCGCCGCGGACGGAATGTTTGCCAACCTCCAAACAGGCCAACGTGTCCCCGTTTTCGCTCCAGGTTTTGTTCGAGAATCGGCCCGGCCATCCTACTGAGGCCCCAAACTTGCAGTCCCAATTTGCGGATTTTCCCAACGAGCCCACGCGCCATTTGATCAGCCCTTGAGACAGGTGTCTCTCGAGGCCACGCCGATCTGTCAGACCGCGTTGGGCGCGACAGGTTTTCAGGTACACATGGATGATGCTGGCCCCGGAACTGGTGGTGTTGATGCTTGGGGTGATGCCAACAGGGTTTACCTGTGTCAAGTTCCAGATGACTGAGTTCCTTGTGCCCATCCCAGCCAGCTTTTCCCTTCCATCAACCGTCCCTCAGTCGTCCGTCACCCGTCCATTGCCGAGGATCGTTGTCCGCGACCTCCTGGCACGAAGGACTGATCTGAGGCGCACGCCGGCTGAGGTGGCGGTCAGAAACACAGCCAAGCGTGCGGTCTGTCATTGTTTCCTGAAGGGCGCTTTGCAGGCTGGTTAAAGGACAAACTCAGGTCCTGAATCTTTTGAGGCACACAATGACATGGGCGCATGATTTTGGGTGTAGGACTCCTTTTTGAGGCCACATCCTGTGGCCTGAAAATGTTTACGCGAAGAAGATGAAGTGTCATGGGCCCACCAGAAGCAGTTTCCCACTTTTTTGGATGGCCATGTTGATAAGGGTCTGGTCTTACTAGGCGGGGGCCATATTGGTGTCCTGGTTTGATGCTGATTCCTCGCGCAGGTTGATGCTCATGAGCGTCCGGCGCTGAGTTTGCTTATGAGTATATCCTCTGGGGCTAGGGCATGCATTGTGCAAGACCTGAGGTGTGTAGTTACATGTGATGCGTATGCGCTTGTCTCGGCGTGTGATTCCATGCCAAGGGCAGCGTCCTTTTGTGGTTGCGTGTCGTGCATTTGGGAGCCTGAGTTGTGCCCAAGGGAATTACGATGCTTTCATATGACACGCTGGATGCATGAAACGCGTGTCATCTATCAGATCCCCAAACTTTACTAGAAGCAAGGCCAGCTCCGCATCATCACATCATCGGATTCCTCAACACTTTGGACATGGTCTCCTGTCACCCAACAAAAATGCTGGACTCCAGCCTAGCAGGTTGACCATTGTACCATTCTAGGAGAAAACAACAAAAACAAAAAGCAAAAAACGATCGATATGTCGGGCTTCAAGCGACTGCTGTGTTGGTTCCCTCATAAACTACCCGCCCTGTTGCGCCCACAATACCGAAGGCGACGCTTCAGATGGACACCTTCGAGCGCTACTTTGAAGGACTGGGCCGGTCGATGTCCGAGAGGGACCGGAAGCTCACAAACCCAGTGGAGGAGACTTAGAATGAATCAAGTACTTGGTGTACTTGTTTATTTTGCATTCAGCATTCAATAGAGTCAGATGCTTGCAATTGAGGCTTGCTCGCAGCTGCCTTCAGTGGTGCGCTTTAGAACATACAGTAGGAACAAAATGCGCCGGTTGAACTCATGGCAAGGCCCCGCCGAAAATATATGGCAATCGTGTGATGAGACTCACTCTCCCTGCTACAGGTTTAACGGCGCCAATTGCAAAACATGTTGGCATGACCTCGCCAACTTCCCGATTTGGGAGGCCGAACAGCTTGGCAACAGCCAAGAAACGACCCCCCCCCCAATTTTCCAACTAGGACTGGGTCAGTGCAAGGTATAGCGAACTTGTGGGGGTTGCGCCCTCAAACATGCAGGCTCCTTTGGTGTCGCTCGATTTCTTTTAGTTTCTTCCATTCGCTTAATATTTTTTTTTCTTTTCCATGGTTTTTAAAGGGAGTCGATTTCACCACTGGAAGTACTTGCCCATTTTTTCCCGGGGGCTTAAAAACAACTGGAAGGTCTCGCCCGAAGTCTCACGGCTCGCGGAGGCGCTGCGAAGGTGAAGATCCCCGGCCGGGCCAAGCCGCCACGCCTTGCGTGGGTTTGGTGGGGGCGGAACTGGGGCTGGGGTGCTACTTGGCCGTGGGTCAAAACCGTTTTGGGATCCCATTTTGGGATAGGTGAATTCACCACCCATTTTAGAACCTATTTTAGTGGGGATTGGGATGTTCACCGGGGGCATGGAAGTAGCGAACATGCTCCTTTGCCGGCAAAGGAGTTCTTTTCCTGGCTCAATTTGTGGAGCTGCGATGCCGGCACAGTGCTGTTGCCACACATATGTGACAAGGGGACACCAGCCCTATCACATCCTGCACCAGTCGGGGTTGATTTGCGTTCTCTGGAGCCGAGAGAATGAGCAGAAGACCTGGCAGATATTGGACATAAGCAACAGACCGTGTTGGAGGGCAACTTGAAGCGAAGTCCAAACTCTCGGCAACTTGCCCCTTGGGAGGTTTTGACTACCATTTCAGCCCCTACCATCCGAAGACTTTAAGCACGGTCTTGGTAAGGAAAGAGTCTCTGCATTTTGCAAGCCGCTTCCACTGCTCTGGCGGGTACATGTTGCGATGAGGCACATGTTTTTGCAACTTGTTTACTCTGTCACATGAGCCAAAACATGGGGTGCACAATTTCAAATTGCCTCATTGTCAGTAGTGTTCACCCTAACTGTAGCTGTCCGGGTCGGATAAATTTAACAGGGGGGCGGGGCCCTTGCTTCATTTCCAGAGGAATTCCATGTGACATCATTCCAAGGCTGGGCTTTGGCAAATTATGTGTCAAGAATTCCGGCAATCATGTTGTTCGGTTTGATGTATCTTAGCAAGGCGTGGGCGGAGCATGCTCAACCGTGCGTTTCGATGGGCTAGCTTTCTTCATGCACAGCAGAGGCTCATAAGGTTTGGTTGAAGCACTAGTTTGGATTCTGACTAGAGCAGTGTATAAACGCTGGAGCTAGAATTCTTGGTCGTTGATGTACATTGTTGTAGCACTCTGGGAGCCGCTCAAGCGAACGGTCCTACAGGTAACGGGGTGCGTCGTCCTCCGGCCACGAAAGTGCAGGTGTTCCCGGTCAACGAGCTGTACCTGGATGAGGTGGCCGTTGGGGTCTGAGGGTCTCCGAGCCTCCGATGGAGCCATTTTGCAGCGTGGTACCGCTGGCAGAAATCCTCACCAATGCCTTGTGACACTCTTTGTATCAAAAGTTGGCCCCTCGAAATGGTGGGTGTTTTTTCAGGGACCCGCACGTTCACACCCCAAAAGAGGGTACGCCGCTGTCCAAATGACTTCCTTGCTCGGTCTTCGCCTTGCGGGGTTTTTACTGATGTGACATGAACGAATAGAGGTTGCAATTCATAGCATGATTGTTTGCCAGAGCGCTGTAAACATGTCGCATGTTTAGGGTTCATCCATGAGTATGATGCTTTGAATCGAGGATTTTCTTATTCCCGGAATGCAAAAAGGATCTGCCAAAGCCGGCAGTCGAAGTTGGAAGGAATGGGATTGGGACTTGATTGCAGCTTCTTTGCAGGACGCCGGTGCATGCAAAGGGATTTTCGGCTGTTGGATTCGTGTGCAGCGCTGAAGATGGCAAGCCCGAAAAGTAGTCCCACCACGTGGAACACAGGGGAACTACATCAGATTGTCGGCATCAACAGCTCCTGTGCCTGCAAGTGAAAGGTGGGCCGCTAGAGCTGCAGATGACTCGTTGACAAGTATCACTGCCCTGCCCATCTCTCCCGATTCATGGGATGGGCTCCCAAGCCCCGGTGTCGTGAGGATCTGGGTGTTTCACAAAATTAGGAACCCCTCCAGGTTGGTTTCCTTTCGCTTTCCAGACCAAAACGGGACCCCTTTGAGAAAATTCGGGTGTCCGACCGTTTACCGGGGACATGTGGTCGGAGCCCCAAGGCCACGCTCTACAAGCAGCCGATGTTTCGCTCGTGGCTTGGGACCGGATGGCCCAGCGGGCGATGCGGTTGGGGCGAGCGGACACCGAACCAATGGGCCAACGGGCGCTTGGGGCAAATCCATGTTGCAGGTCCCTCGCTTGGCGTGTCATGCTTTAAGTAGAATCTGTAGAATGCGAGGTTGCCCGGATCATCGATTGGGGGGGGGGCATCGAACCAGAGAGGAGCACAACTGGTAGTTGTTGGACTGGTCTGACTTGTGAGCACCTCAGCCAGGGTTGTTTCTTAGCTTGCAGATGTCTGTGCTCGCTCTGAATCGTTTGCCGGGGATCAGCATTTTGGTCCCAGGATTGCGCTAACTTTGGTCGCACGGTCTTGCTCTTTGAAGTGGCTTAGCTCCTGGTAGGGCAACAAATTACCTAGCACATTCAACGCTTGTGTTGCTCAGCTATGTTCCAAATGTGCATTCATCTAGAAAAATGCCCTTCCACTTCCTTCTGCAATTATGTTGAGGCCTGGAAGAGGAGGAACATACGCACGAAACACTTAGCCAGAGCGATTCAAACAAGACACATATAACAGAAAAGATTCACACAAAAATAATCACCTACAACCAAATGCACAAACGCACACACACAGCTACACACACAATGCAAAATTCGATGGAAGACGCAACTCACAACACACACACACACAAGTAACAGCACAATTGACGGCATGTCCCACTCACAGCACAAGCAACAGATAGCACGGACTGCCCAAAACACAACACACATCACAATACACAACACACACACATACGTACACACACACACACTTACACACACACACACACTACACAAACAGAACAACACACACAGACTACACAAGCACAAACAACACACACACACACACACCACCCACAACAGGCAACATTCGACATTGGGCATCCATCGTTCAACACTAAACCAACCCTTACTGTAGTCTTCATCATTCCTTATTCAATGTGAACATCGTCAACGCTCACCCTTCAAACATTCATGTTTGAATCATTCAAGCATCCAACATCTAAGTTTCAAGCTGCGACACTTTTTGTTCTGTGTTTGCTTTCTTTTCGAGGCCGGGCATCTTGTGTGGCGGCATCGCGCGGAGGCCCAGAAGCGATGCTGGCACAACTCTCTAAGCTATGTGTTCCTCAATTCCATGCGATCGATTTGCCCCTCGATAGCTGACCCATGGCCTACTTTGGGAGGGGCAAACTGAGCAAGCCTTGGCAAGTAGTCGAAGTTCGGACGCCTGGGACATGAACGCAGAAGTTCCTCAGATTCCGTTCGGCACCCTTGACTTTTGGGGATGCAACTCACGAAAGGCGTGGGTGCTTGAAGCCACACCATTTTCATAGAGGGAGTCTTGGGAGAAAATGTTGAGCCCCAGTGCTCAACATTTTGTCTTTCGCCCTCGGAGCACTCCAAGGGACTGGGGATGCCCTTGGGGGTTCAAGACTGCGAGGGTTCCTCGGGACTCGGAGCCGTTGCTGGGCTGCGGTTTCTCAGGACATCCCTGCTGGCGCGGAGGGGGATTGGAATGAACGCGCCTGGAAGCAAGGGCCTGAGAGCACCGCCGCACATATTTTCTTCGAATCTTCTATGTCTGGAGCAGCCGTTGTGGCATGATACAATTGCAAGGGCAGGTGTAAAGGTGAGGCCCCAGCAAAGTTTTGATGGGACAACAAAGAGATCCATCTGGAGAGGAGGGGAGATCTGCCAGTTGTTGTGAGGTGTTCTAGTTCTTGTTTTGTTTGTTGGGCAGTATGAATGCACAGTGACTCGAGTCTGTCTGGAGGGTTCACCGGGCGTGGTCAAGAGGGCACCGCTGAGCCTTCGAGGACCATTGTCTTCAAGAACACCAAGCCGGAGGTGGGCGGCCGGAGAGCGGTCGGCCGGAGAGGGAGCAAAGGCGTGCGGGGCAAGCAAGCGTTTCAAGCAGACAAGCCAAGCAGACGCGGGGAAATTTGCAAGCGCCTGACTGTGGGCCTCATATGTTTGAGTTAACGCGCTCTTATGAACTTGGTGTGTTGTTGTCATTTCTGAGCACTGGGTAGGTCTGAACAGTTTGGCTTGGTGTTTGAGCCCTGCCACGCCTCCAGCTGTGATTTGTCGCTCGCAGGATCGGGACTCCCTGTGGGGCCTGCGGGAGAAGGGCCTGGAAGGCCAAATGCCGCACTCCCAGCCTAGCCTTGCAGGCGGTGAGGCGAATTTGCACTTTCCGCAATGAAGAAGAAGCCGTGCCCTGTACTCCTTGCTCCTGGCTGGCTTGGGCGTCGCCATGAAAAGTCTTCAAGCAGCGTTTCTGCTTTTGTTTTGCCGCAGTCTCTCGTCTGTTTTTTCGGATCGCTGATTGCGCTGCTAGCAGAACCCGTGACGGAACTCTCCAACCACAGCTGCTCAAAAGGTATCCGCAGATACGGTGTCCTGACTGGAAACACCTAAGCTTTCACCGTCCAGTTTAGAGTGAGGTGGCCTGCACTATGTTTTCTCACTCTTCAATCAACATGAACCCCCCCACATGGCTAGGATGTAGCTTCGGATCTCAGCCGTCCAATTGTCTAGGCGTGTGCAAGCCCTCGCAGCCATCTTGACGGACATCGACTCAAAACCTCCTGAAGGATTGTAGTAGTAGCTTCTAAAGGTTGATGAGGCAGGACAGCTCCTCAGGGGCACGTTGAGAAGAGAGATCAGCAGGATCGCATTTTACACCCCTCAATCCCTACTGTTACCCACTCTTCATCCTGACACTGAGAGATCGATTTGCTTCCCAACAACAGGAACCCGGTGCTGTGACCGAAACGCTTTGGTTCCTTGAGGGATTTCTACAGGTTATATCGTTTTCTCTCCCGCTTTGGTTTTCCTGTTTCTTGCTTTCTTATTGTCTTTGCCTGCTTGCGTTGCTTGCAGTGCTTGCAGTGCTTGCTGGCTCGCTCGCTCGCTTGCTTGCTGGCTTGCTGGCTTGCTGGCTTGCTCGCTCGCTCGATTGCTTGCTGGCTGGCTGGCTCGCTCGCTTGCTTCTTGCTCGCTCGCTCGCTTGCTTGCTGGCTTGCTGGCTTGCTGGCTTGCTCGCTCGCTCGATTGCTTGCTGGCTGGCTGGCTCGCTCGCTTGCTTCTTGCTCGCTCGCTCGCTTGCTTGCTGGCTTGCTGGCTTGCTCGCTCGCTCGCTCGATTGCTTGCTGGCTGGCTGGCTCGCTCGCTTGCTTCTTGCTCGCTCGCTCGCTTGCTTGCTGGCTTGCTGGCTTGCTCGCTCGCTCGCTCGATTGCTTGCTGGCTGGCTGGCTCGCTCGCTTGCTTCTTGCTCGCTCGCTCGCTCGCTTGCTGGCTTGCTGGCTTGCTCGCTCGCTCGCTCGCTCGCTCGCTTGCTGCCTTGCTGGCTTGCTGGCTTGCTCGCTCGCTCGCTCGATTGCTTGCTGGCTGGCTGGCTCGCTCGCTTGCTTCTTGCTTGCTTGCTTGCTGGCCGGCTGGCTCGCTCGCTCGCTCGCTTGCTTGCTTGCTGGCTTGCTCGCTTGCTCGCTGTCTTGCTGGCTCTCTTCCGCTTTACACTCTGGCACGGTCACCACCATTCCCTCCGGATTTGACACCTTGGGACCATCATCCGCTCTGCCTCTATGTGTTGGTTTGGAGCCCAGATTTTTGCAACCCAACCTCCGCTTCATCCCGGGTGATGTTGCCATCTCGCCTTTCTCATGGCGAGCTCACCGAGCCCACCATGTATGTCCCGTGCCCTGGCGTCTCTTAGGACGGCGCCCATGTCCCGCGCGCGGCTGGTGGACGGCCTGAGGAAGCACGACGTGCTGCAGCAGCGCCACTCTCAGGTTTGGTCGGGATGGCACCATCCCCCGCGGAAGTTTGGTGGACTTCTCAGGCTCAAAGATACAATTTTGAAGTGAATGAATGCTTGCTGGACCAAGCCGAACTGCATAATTAGAGCAGCAAGGCTGCATTCAAGAAGGGACACTCGTCTTCCCGTGAGTTGCGTACTTCCACATGTGTTTGTGGCAGGATAGTGCGAGAATTATGATATGGTTGACCCGAACTGTTGCATAAGCTATTCGCAACTAGTAAACAGGGCGTTAGATTTGGATTGGGTGTCATTGGGGTGATGAGGACTGCCCCACCTTGGCCATGCACATGAAACTTGTCCGTTGTTTGTTGCATATTATTTACCACATGCATCATTGCTCGGATGAGAGTGCATCGGTCGCCATGGTCGCCCAAAAGCGTTGCATCTTTCCCCTTGTGGCTCGCGACGTCTACATGTTTACGCTCTCAAAGGGGTGGTTTACAGGAGCATCTCTAGGAAAATTGATGGGGCGAAACCCCCCCAACCCAGGCTCCTCAAGATTCGCTGAACCCTTTGAGCGACGCCATGTAGTCATGGCTGCCTTCCAAGGAGTGGACTTGCTTTCGACTATCCGATCATCGAGGTGGGCGATTGGGAATTCGGCTGGGTATGCCTTTGGAAGCAGACATGAACCCAGGAATCTCTCCTGGGCGGTGACAGATACCCAGATAGATATTCATTAGCCCGTCTAACCCAGAGCACATCGGGGTTCTGCAGGTTCTGTGCTGTGTGGCCTATTCTTGTCAGGCAGTTCAGCATGTGTTGCTGGACCTGGTGCGTGCTTGTGCGTCAGCAGGAATGCGAGCTGGCATGTTTGCCTTAGAGCATGGTTTGAACATGGAGGATTATTCTTGCCCAAGCTGTTCTTTTTGTTTTTCGCTGTTTTTGCTTATGCTGCTTTCAAATGATCCAATTTAATGATAACTCTTCTGATCAAATGACATGGACCACTCCTTAGCGCACACACACACACACACACGCACACAACTTGCAAGCCTCCCGCTTGAGGGAGCCTGTACATGGTCGGTTTTGACGCTTCCGCTTAGAGGCTGCTTTGCGGAAGTTGCAAGAGTAAGGACACACGGCAAAGAGAGACCCCGGCAAAAAAGCATTCGGCCGCAACATAGTTCTCGCTCGGGAGCCATCGGCATTTGGAACTGCCATGTTCTTCAGGATGTATGTTGGGCTGTGGCCAGCAATTGCTAAACCCCACTGTCTGTTTAAGATGACTCGTTTTGCCCAGGCGCTCATCCTTCACATCGACAGGACTGAACACCTGCTCATGGGGTCAGACATGTTAGACGTCTTTGGCGCTTTCTGAGGCAAATGAAAGTCCTGCAGAAATTGTGCGGATCTTTGTTTTAGGCGGCTTGACAGGAATCGAAACTCAGGCGGTACCGAAAACGACGTTGTTGTGGTCAAACATCACAACGCGCGGGCAAACATAGGACTAGCAGGAGACCGTTGCGCCACGGCAGCCACATGCTTAGGATCCCCTTGTTCCTACTGCATGTTCGGGATGATTTGATCTAAAGGTCACTATGCATGCGCACCATGAATTTGCACTTTGCACCATGCGTGTGCATGCACATGCAGTTATCCCATATCTTCATGTCAGATGAATTAAACTGTTGGCACTGAATTTGTAGGTATTCAGATATTTGCGTTCTGCCAGGAAGGTCGTTGCTGTCATCTTCGCTTTTTGGAATGTGTCAAAGAAGCATTGACGAAGCCTTTGAGGGAAACAGCGGAAGCCACACCAGCCCTAGTACAGGCCCCTTGTTCCAGCTGATGTTTTCGTTGCGTTCTGGTGATTGGACGATTGAACTGGAGTGCTTCTCGTTTCTTTGACACCAGGATGTACAAGGACGCTCAGAAGGCAGCTGCAGGAGAGGAGGCAGGCTTGTACACGAAAAAGCCAGTTGGTTCCGGTGGCTGCTTGTGTAATTTCATAAAGACGTGTTGTGGGGCTTTGGCACAAGTGATCACTCCGTGACAGGGATGGCCAAATCACTCGATTTCAAGGAAAGAACAGAACCAACAAGCTTCATGGCGCTGCTGGACAAACTTGACTGGGGGCCTTGTGGGCGAAACAGCGGCGACACGTGATCCATTCTTGAATGGAACAAAGAGCTGAAAAGGCTGTATGCGACGCTATGTACGAGTGCAAAGGGTCCGGGACGGGGTGCTGAACCGCGCTCACCCTGCAGCTGGCCACTTGCTCTTTTCTTTTCAATCTTTGAGGGGATCCTTTTCAACCCTTGAAGGGGGTCCGCCTTTTTGCGAGTCCCCGCTGTGTCAGACGTGCTTGTTCTTGGCCTATTACCAGCAGACATTGCTTCACGTACTTGTCCCCGAACAAGATCCCGATGGGATTCTTATTCTAGAAACCGGGTGTGATGGGGCGATGGCCCCCTTTGCTTCCAGCTGGCAGTTGTTTTTTCTTCTTTTTTTTTAATTCTCGGATTCGTTTTGATTTGTTTGTTTGTTTGTTTGTTTGTTGTGTATGGATTGGCATTCACGAGTCACTTGTAGTTTGGTTGGTTGGCTAGTCACTTGGATGTCGGGTCGGTTCATCGCTCATGCATCAGTTGTCGCATCAACGAGGGCATGCTCTTACTTCTTGCTGGCAATGGCAAGATTGCAATGGACTGCTGGGTTCCAGAGGAGCTTCTAGAAAGAGGCTGAACACACAGCATGTACGTGGTATCCTTAGGCCACGCACTGCCGTTGGGATGTTGCCCCCGCCTCAAGCGATGTTCTCGTCTTCCGCACTCAGTTTCTGTGGTCGGTTCGGAAGGGGAGCTTCTGCACCATCCCGGCAAAAGAATCGAGGCGAGCCTCAAAGGGATGCTAGGGATCCTGGACTTGTCCGATAACGTCTGCCAACAGAACATAGACTCATAGACATCCACATCCGAAGCGGAGATCCAGTGCCGAACCTTTTGGCAGGAGAAGGTTGCGGGCACCATCCTCGTCTTTCTGCCCGGCTGGGGTGACATTGCCGGGCTCTGAGTGGGTTTCCACGGAAAAGTCGAAGGCTTGCCGAAGATCCCATCGGAAGAAGAGATTCTAACAAAGTGGCGAGGTTTCGTGTGGAGCAATCGCGGTTTGACCTGTAAAACCGGCCAGTGTGATCAGCCTTGTTGAGCCCCTCGTTTGAAACAAAGATAACTTGAGCCGTTTTCCAAGGCATCGGCGTTGTGCCATCCCCAGGGAAGAATGCCTGACCAAAGCTCGCGAAGTGTTTGACCAAACCTTCCCAGCTCAGGACACCCTCCAAAAGCGCCTTGCGCAGAACTTCGACCCGAAGCGATTCAAGATCTTGCCGCTGCACTCACAGGCAGGCTGGGGGCGGGAAATCGATGACGCCTGCTGGGTTTCCTTGAGTGAGACACTGAGACTGCAGGTGACGCCGCAGCAGCAGCAAGAGATCTTTGAGCCAGCACCTCCTGGGATACGCAAGATTGTGCTGACCACCAACATTGCAGAGGCGCGCCGTATCGACTAGTTTGGGAGCCTTGGCCGTGGGGGTCTTGAGGCCTTGGCGTTGGCGTTGGCGGGTCACATCTGGCAAAAGTGAGGGCGACGGTTTTCACCGATCAGCATGTCTGGAACTCTTGGGGTATCCACCCAGGATCGCGAAGCTCCTTCACCCAACATGTTGGGGCTCACTTGAGTTGCTGGCCGCAAGCTGTCTGGCATCGGTTCGAAGCACCAAGGCTTGCACACTGGAACCTGCATTTTTCCGGCCGTTTCCCTGGGCCCCAGTCTACATCCGCTTCTCCTTGAAGGCCCCACACCCGGGGCGCACAACGCCGCCCCCCGCCCCCCCCCCCCCCCCGCGCCCCGCAGCCCCGCAGCCGAGGCCTCGATCACGGTGGAGGGTACCGAGTTTGTCATCGACTGCGCCAGGGCCAAGGAGCTGAGCTACGACCCCTACCTCAAGGCCGGAGGACGGAGGACGGAGGAGGACGGAGTGGGCACCGGAAGCTTCACGTCTGAGGCCAAGGAGTCATGGGGGTTCGAACATGTGTATGGTTCTGGTTGGCGTTCGAAGCAACACCACTTCCAAGCCAAACCAATGAGGAATAAGCAACTGGCTGGCCAAAGATAATCAAACTGCAAAAGTGCAGAGATCCCAAGATGCGCAGGCTTCCGGCTGCTGACTGCATAGGGAGTAGTTGGCAGCTTGTCTTGGGGCAAAGGGGTAGCGCTATTCGTCCTGAGTTTTCTGCGTCTTTCGCCGAACTTTCCGCGTCATGGTTACAAGCAAACATATTGTTTGATTGCGAGTCATCAGGAGTGAGTGACCTTCGCGGTGGGAAGGGTGCTGGGTCATGTTCAAACTCTTTACGCTCTTCGATCCTTATCTTGCCACTGCTGATTCCTCAACTTTTCAGTACAAGTGGCTCCTTTGCAAGTGTTGTTGTCAATATGAAAAGGCATCACTGCTGTACCCCTAGGGAGTGGTACATCAATTTGCTGGGGATTCCTTACCGCTGCTGCGGATGAACGACTCTACAACTATAGGGGTCATGCAGTTTGAAGCCTTGCGGGTACATCGCCGGAGCACGCATGATAGCTTAGGTTACAGCAACACTATGGCTGTCCCTCTGACGTCCAAACACATCCTTTGGTCAAGGTTCTTAAACAGGAACGCCAAGAAATCTGGCTTCACATTGAGCCCGGAAAAGCCGTGAGACACTCTCAATGACCTTTGCGGGCACTCATTTGCCATGCAGTGGAAGCCCTTACTTTGTACAACACAAGATGTTTCTGCGCGAGTTGGACTTATACTATTGGATTTTGCTCGACTTGATCGCTCTTGGCAGGTCGGCACTCTCACGACCTCGTGGATCTCCAAGGCTGGGATCATCTGTAGCGAAAAGCTGCGGTTGGATTTTTTCCCAACCGCGAATGAAAAGGCCCAATCTGAAATCTGCAAGAAAGGCTTCACGATTCTGCCTGGATTTCTTCGCGGGGGAACAGCGCGCGGAACTTGAGCAGGCTTCTGCCAAGCAGCGAGCAGGGCGAGCAGGCAAAGCTGGGGCTGGGGGAGTGGGTTGTCTGAAAGACTCGTATGACCTGCTTGCAACGTCAGAGCCACCTTCCCAATATGTTGCCGGACATCGGGATTCAGTGTGTCACAGTACTTGTTCTGGACTTGAGGTGTATATTCCACATGTCATGGCTTCTGTTTTGACGGCCTCTGTGTCCCTGGGGACACGTGAAGGAATGGCTCGGAGGATGACAGTTGAGTGGCAGTATGCTGCCAGTGCTGTGATGCTTTGCCTTCGTGCAGAAGCATGTTGGACAGCAGTCGAACATCATAATATTCCATTGGACTCATGGTAAAGGCCCTTTCGGTCTTGATGGACAATCATGTTGTGAAGCCTTCTCGCATTTTTTTTTGCAGCTTCAAGGCCAGCCAAACACCTAGCCACATTGCTCGACGACATGAAGGGACTCCTTTGGCTTCAATCAGAGGCATTCAGCACATGTTTCGTAGGCCCCCAATCGCCGAGACACCGAACGGTCAGGGGAAACAAGTGGTGGATGTTGGACGCGACTCCTGCGAAGTTCTCGAGCTGGGGTGACAGGCCGGACGCAGGGAGGCCTGTGCTTCCACCTCTTCTGCCGGGAGCGCTACAACAAGGCGCGGCCCTCCACCAGCGCGACGGGACAGTTTGGTTCGTGGAGTCTTTTTGCGACCCTTCACTGGTTTCCCCGGGCTTGGCTGTACCTGCGTGTGTCAAATCAGCCGCGTATCAAGCAACAAGAAGCCAAAAAAGCGCCAAGGGACAATGGCCACCAAAAGAGGGGTGTCTATTTTGAGGGAGAGCCCCCCAAAATGGTGGTTTTCCTTTTGGTTCCCTGTAAAACCGACCAAAAGAGGCGTCCCCCCAAAAAAGACACACTCATCAGGTGGACGACTTTTTGCCGCCGGAGCTTCTCCGGAGCCCGCTAGAGGAGGGCGCGTTGGGTGAAACCAGAGGAAACCAACATGAGAGGGATTCAGCTGGGTTTCCTGCTCAAGGAACAGAAGGGTAAGCCAACAAACCCAGCGGAAACGGATTTTGCAAGCAGGCAGGCCAGAACCAAATTGTGTTGGATGAAGTATGTGAAGTATGAGGGTGATCATGGTGCAGTTGGTGATTTTTTTGTTGTGATTCGCGAGTGCGCTGGCCAGCTGACAGGTGGAACGGTTTCTCCAGCCACACACCGTCGCGATGTCCTAAACGAAGGTGAGGGGAACAGCTCACCCTGGAAGGCTAATTTTTTCAATGGATCACCCAGAGAAACCTTAGGGTTCGCCAAATCATTTCCCAGGTATGAATGGCAGTTGATGATTCTGGCTTCCAGTGACTTCCGATGGCCTTTGTGATACTTGCTTGGCACCTGGGCTTGTCATCGAAGGCCTGGAATATACGTTTTATATGTTCTGGCGATCCACCTTGGTCCACAGTTAGATTTCATCGCGCTTCCCTTTTTTTCCATGTTTGCACGGAAACGACCAGGTACTCAGCAATGCGATGTGTTTGGGGTATTGAGGTTTGCCAGTTGCGTCGAAGTAAGCCCGGCCAAGTGTAGTTGCATGCTGTTGCACGTGCAACGCCATAGGATGCCCGAAGGGTGGACAGCAGGGTTGATTGACAATTTAGAATTAATGTCGAGGATGGTGCTAATCATTGATGGTTTTCTTTTAGTACGGAAAACAATGATCTATTTTAGGGGGTTCCTCTGATTAGTAAGTAGGTTCCCCACGGATTAGTCGGAGGTTGACATTTCTGGGAAGTGCCAGCTGCTCGCGGCGTTTGGGCGAGGTCCTAGGACCTTTTTCCTTGGCTCAGGCCTGCAAGGCAGGCAGTGAGCCTCCAGTCCCGTTTGGACCACGCTTCAAGCTCTAGACTTGTCGCATTTCAGTCTTGCATCGTCCACACTCAGAATAGAACTGCTTTACGACCATACTCTCTGATCACTGTCAGTAGGGAAGCGCAGACTGGCGGCTAGGCGGCTGCGAGTGGCTTAAAGGCATCGCATCGCCATGAGTACGATCAAGGATCAGAGAGGCATTATCCCTTGCTGCAATTGCCTCTCGGGCTGCAAGCGGGATCAAGTCACAGCAACGGAGGTGCGACGAATGCTTGCTTAGGATCCCAATGTTTGCACAGTGGTCCTCCGAGTCTGCAAATGGGCCGAACACTTTGACAGTGCTATGGAGCCAGAGAAGCGCTGAACGGATGCGAGCTTCACTTAGTGCTTGGAGCGCTCGCAAGCCAGTCAGCCACGAGGCATGAGTAAGGCACCAGCAAGCCGCAATCCACCGCAGCCACAGCTCTGATCCAGCCCAGCTACCGCCATGGCCCACCCCACCATGGCCACATGTTTCAAATCACGAGGTTTCAGTGCTGGATCTATTGGTGTCGAGATTGGCAGTTTGACAAGCAATCAATGCCTTTGACGTCCTGTTTCCAAGCCGTCCCAAGGGCATAACATGTGGCCCTTGGTATTTTAATGGAGAAGCACCATCACATCCTACCAGCACTGCGCCAAGGTCTGGTTGCCGTGCCACAGGACTCTTGGCGGTCAGGGCAACTCTGCGACTAGAACGGCATCGAGCGTACCATGCCCACTATTTGTTTCCACACGTTGAATCTTTGTTGGCCACAGCAACAAGGTGTCTTGTTATTGTGCGATTCCTATCATTCTCAAATCTATTGCCATGAAAGCAACGACGACCTTATTGGAATCGCTTCTTTTGCTTTGGCAATAGGCTGGGACAAAAGCTTTGCACATAGCAGGCCTCTTTGGCTGTGGACTATTTGTTTAACTGGGATTGCATTTGCATTTTGAGATAGGTTGCCTACTTCATGTGCCATTGTCAAAGCAACCGTTTGAGAAAGGAGGAGCCCATCGGCACGGGATTCAGCCAAGCAATTCGAGAAGCCCTGCCCAAACCACTAGACCATGACCATCAAGATGATTGCATGACCCATCCCTCACAAGCTTGAACGTCGCACACGTGATGCCGTCCAACATGACATTGGCTTTGCAAGAGGACCGCTATGTGGCTGTGGAGTACTTTGGCAGCTACGTCAACACGCTCCGCCCTGGCTTGAATTGGACAGGCTGTGCCGTGCCAAGCAAGACCGGACGCTTGATTTGCTGTTGAACGCCAAGCAGTCGTGATTTTGCCGGCCAGAGTGCAAAGCTCCTTGGATCCTTCCTTCGAAAGGTCCAAACAGTGTCCAGGATTTCGACCCACAGAACTGACCATTTTGGCTGAAAGATATTGGGTGGAGGAGTAGACCGCTGGTTGACTGACAGGAGGATGCAACGCATGCAGAGCCTTACGAGTAAGAGCCCAGGATTCCTTGGCAAACCTTTTCAACTAGCTGCCCTATCAACGCTTCATCAGATCGCCAACTCATCTTGTATTCAATCTATAGCATCAACAGAAAATGCGTTCCAGGGTATGGTACAAACTATGTCCGTTTGTAAACAGGGTCGCAATAGCATCCAATGCTACAATGTGTTTTGGTATGTTGGCAACCACTGTGCTGCATGATTCTTTGCTTCCCAGCCACCGCTGGCACAGTTTTTTTTTCTGCTTCAACACCCCTTGTCTCGACTTCGAATTGCAAACTGACATGGACTGAACACTGCCACTAAGCGCTGCCCTATGCTCCGGGATCTGGGATGGCTTCAGCTTACTTCCAATGCCACTTGTCCAACCAACCTGACAGTCAACATCTCTGCCTTGTCTTGTCTCTTGAACTGAAAAGTCTCCTCTTGGCGCCGCTTGTTCCCGACGTCTTTCAAGGAAGACCGTCCTTTTGGAGGAAACCCCCCCCGAGACTCGGTTCGGCTCGGCGCCCGAGTCGACTGCCTGGGCCTGTGCGTGGCGCTGCGGTCCATCTCCAGCCGCACGGAGCAGCTGGAGGTGCAGGTCAGCAGCAAGAGCAAGGACCATGCGGACCCAAAAAGCGACCCCTGCGCGGACTGCGGCCAAGCGTCAAGGGGAATCTGGTATCCCCAAATCAGTTCGAGGCACAAAGTCCACAGTTCCCAGCTTCCCACCTTCGCACCTTTGGCCATGGGTCAAAATCAGAAGCCCGTACCCGCGGTGAACATCCGATTCAATCCAACCACGAAGATAGGTTCTAAGATGGGTGGTGAATTCACCTACCAACCAAAATGGGATCCCAGTGGTTTTGACCCACAGCCATGCGGACCCGTGGGGAAAGGGGTGGTTATGGTGGGGTGGCAGGTGTGGGTTTGCAAAAATGGGGAAGGGGTTTTGGAAACGCTGGCTTTTAAGCAGGAAGTTAAAGAGAAGCCCTCTTTTGTTGCATGGTTGGAAGGGAGGCTAAGTCTGGCAAGCACCTTTTTTGCCCCAAGGATCTCTGAAACTTCTAACCCTCCATTCTTCCCACAGGGCAGTCTGTCCATGTCTGTCCATGGCAACAAGTGTTCGCGCAAGGACAACGTTTTCTGCACCGTGCACATCTCGGTGCAGTTTGCGGTGAATCCGCAGGCCTGTGAGGACGCGCCGCTCGGCGCGCGTGTACAGCTGGTGGGCCTGGGTCTTGGATGGGCCAAACCGGTCCTTGATAAATCGTGTGGCTCAAAATTGAGGAGAGAGGGTTACGCGGGTTTTAGTCTTTGGTTCCATCTACCAAAGTGCCGTTTTGGTACATTTATTTGAGCCAAAGCCATAAATCTGGTCAGCAGAGAGACTGCATCCCTCCCACCATGGCCGTGGCTTTGAAGCGCTGGCGCTGGATGGTCGTGTGCCCCGTATACATGGAGAATTCTAGTCAAGCCCACCGAGGCATCAGGACAATGACCGCCAGTGAGTGTCAAAAGGTTTAGAGCCAGTTTAAATGGTCAATTGCGTTTGGGCCCGCTTTCAAACTCCGAAGTGAAGGATCCCTTACTATGACACGTCCCCTTGTCTTTTGCGGTTGATGTTGGGCTGTTGGGCCATGGGTGGACATTGTTCCTATGAGTGGTAGTTGTATTTGCTTGGGGTTGCGTCTAACAGTAGTTCGACCTCCTTAGAGGTATGTGCCAGTCTTTTGGCCTTGGCACGTCTTGCCGCACTTCTCGCACCCTTCCCGGGGATGCTTTCTCGTACCACGCCTTCCACTCCTTCCCGCAGCGATTAGCAGAAGCAGGGATTCACAGCATACGCTGCGGGGTGTGTGGGAAGGGGTTGCGGGAAGATGTGAAGCAGGAAGGGGTGCGGGAATGTGAAGGGTGAATGGGATGCAGAGCCTTTAAAGTGCCACACTCTATGTGAGGCAATGCTGAATGTATTTCGCTTTGGCAGCTGATGAGAAGCTAAGCGACAGCTACACTAAGGACACAACCTGATCCCTTCGTGCAAGCGTCCTCTTAATTTCTCCTTTCGGAAAGGATCAAACATGTCCCTTTTTATGGTAATGTTTAAAGGGCATTAATTGAAATGGTGCAATACTTGGGCATATAACCAACCCAAGTTTAGCCAAGTTTGAGCCCTTTTCCAGGCGAGTTTGGGGCAGAAGCCTCTGAAACGGCTCTCCCGGCCTCGATCCGAGGATCTACAAACTCGCCAATGCCACCTGGTCTTGCTTTTGGCACTATGCGGGTCCCAGTTATAACTTCTTTTTTTTTTCAATTTGCTTGCTGATGAGCAAATTCTGATGAGCCGAGCAGAGATTTCGAGTGGCGCGAAGTAGCGGTGCTCACGTTGCGTGCTGGAGTCGTTCCTCTATCGAGCTTTCGAAACGAATGCATTGACAAATCCCAAAGGGCCCTCCATTCAGGACAGGCTGCTTCAACCGTAGAAGGTGCAATGGCAACAAACCTCTTCCACCTGAACCTGCGCTCGCCCACCTCTTGGGTCTGCAAATCATGACTTGAAGTACAAACAGAGCGACCTTGATGTGGTCCAACGTCTTTGCAGTTGTATCATGGCTCCCAGC